CCGCCCCTGCGCCCCCGGATTCCTGGCACGCCAGTCCCTGCACCCCTGCACCCCGGGACTCCCGGTGCGCCCACCCCTGTACCCCGCCACCCTCATTACAGGAAAGTCCGCCCTTGCACCCCGGGACTCCTCACACGCCTGCCCCTTCACCCCCCTACTCCAGGAACGCTGGCCTCTGCATCCCAGGCCAGCCGGACTCCTGGGTCCTGGACCTTCAGAACCCCAAGGACACCGGGCATGCCCTGCTCCCTAACTCAGCCGGACCAAACATCGCCCAGCCCTGCCAGACTTCCAGCCTTGTCCCCAGTCCAATTCTCCCTCTTTCTCCTGGGCGTGCACGCGCAGGCATTCGCTCCCTGCCCCATCCCTGTACTCACAAAGTTCAGTTACACCTGGTCACGGAAAAAATGGGGCGATTCAGGCCTCCCTGAGTCTAGGCAAAGGCTGCACAACCAGAATATTTTTTTTCCCCTTATGGTCTTACATAATTTGTAAAGTGAACAGTTCTGCTCCTCCTTCCTGTGCATCTCTAACAAATGCAGCTGTTACTCTTGGAGGGTGTGTCAGGAGCCGCTCCCCCAGCAGCCCAGGTGGGGACTGTGCCAGGGCTGGGGCAGCAGACCCACCAAGTAGAGCAGGGAAGATTCCAAGGCTGTTATTTAAATTATTGGTCATAAGACTAAACTAAAAAACATAAATAAAACCCCAGTTCTCCCCAAGCGTGGCTCAGGTGGCTCCTTTGTTTCCGCTGTTCTTAGCTTCTCTATCAGTGTAGATGTGAGGTCCCCCCATAAGAGTACTAATGAGTCTCCTTGCTTTTGAGATGAAGGATAACCTACCTCTAAGAGGGGAAACGCTGCTTTTCAAAACCTGAGAGTTGTCTCTCCCATCAGACTGAAGCTCTCTGAGGACAGGGACCCTTTCTGTCCCCTCTTCAGTTCCTCACTGTTCACACCAATATGTGAAAGTTGCACTGGACAAGGCTCTTCTTTCCCCTCCACAAAAGAGAGTGATTAATTATCTAATTCCAATCAATGAAAAGCTTCTTTACCAGCATAACTAGAATAGCAAGAGCTAATATTCATGGCGTGCTTATTTGCTAGGACCTGGGCTAAACCTTTACATGTATCACCTCATCTTTAATCCTCAGCTATTGAATCAAAGCCCTAACAACTAAGGGGCTTGCTTGTTTGCTCTGTGCCAAATGTTTCTCGGACTCCTTTTCTGTCATGGGACAGAAGCAATTATCTGTAACCTTCAAAGATGTACAAGAGGCCACAACCCCCCTGGATCTACAACCTCTGCCATAGTGATTTAACATTAGCAGCTGTCTAACATTCTTATAAATACAGAGCTTATTAGTGTGCTCAACATTTGGTCAGCAGTATCTCATTTAATCTTCTTTAAAGTTCTGATGGTATTTTTAGCCAAGAAACAAGCTCAGAGGTTAAGAAGGAACCTAAGTTCAGACTAGTAAATGGGGCATGCAGGATCTAGACCCAGATTGGCCTGATTTCGAAGTCAGTGCTCTTCAGCAAACAGGGAAGCCCATGGCAGTGCAACAGTAGCCAGTGACTTTTACAAGGACACTACCATTGCTTGCTTTTTGAGACCCAAGCACTTTGTTAGTTCATCTCCATGAGTTTCAATTTATGTGATGAGACTTTAAGCTACTGGAGGGCAAGGACCTGTCTGGCATAGTGCTATACTCAGTGCCCAGCAGGGTCTCTGGCACAAGGCATGGTATTGAGTGTATGGGTGTGAAATGAGAGGTTAAGAGAAAAGCAACCCCCATAAAGTGGGACCCTGCAATACAAGGATTATTTCATGAAACCACATTCCAGGAATACAAGGATACAAACTACCCCATCCTAAATGTCATCCTTCATCTTCCAGAACATCTTCAGGAGAACTGATTCTTCCTGCCATTTTGGTGCATCTTGAGGATTGTTTATTTCTCCCTCCAAGGTATCACAAATACAATGCATTTGGGCTGTAAATCAGACCCCATTTTGGGAAAAACCAGACAGCATCTACATCATTTGGATTCACTAAAAGGACATGTCCTGCAACGCCCAGGATGCCTCACTGATGCACACATGTGATCTGGCCCCACTCTTTATCCAGCTTCATCTTGCACCATCCTGGTCCATCAGGTCTCTAAATGCATCACACTTTTTTCCAGCTCAGGGCCGTTGCACATGCTATTACTATGGTCTGGAATTATCTCCCTCTTCCTGTTTGCCTGGTTAGCACCTACTCATCTTTCAGCTCTTGGTTCAGATGTCATTTCTTCTGGGAAGCCTGACCTATGTCCCTGATTGTACACAGCTTTATTTCATAACACTTGGCAGTCTTCATGACCTAGTATGTGATGTTTTTATTAAGGTCTGTCTCCCTGATTAGGATATAAGCAAGGATTGCTCTGCTCACTCTTGTGTCTCTAGGGGCCAGCAAAGCCCTACTTCGTGCTCAAAATGGCTTTGTTCTTTTGTTGTTGTTTTCCCAAGCATGCACTGGCTGAGAACCTTTAGAAGTTTTCCTTCACAGGGCTGATTAACAAGCTCCTGAGACACCATCCAGGTTTTAACCTACTTCGTCAACTGCAGTCCTGATAAACGTGTCTGGTTTCTTAACTTGATGGTATACACTGTTCTCCAGCACACCGGAGGCTGCTGTGATAATTCTCCACAAGGCTTAGCATGATGAACCTTCCTGCAATGTGCCCTAACAGAATCACCATCAACTGGCTCAAGGGAAATGGCATTGAGCAACTACAAAGCCAACAGCTTGCTACAGGTGTCACCATAGAGGGAAGACTAAAGTCAGGGCCACAGCAAACCCAGGATCAGTAGGCCAGAGCATGACAAGGTTTCCACCCTTGGCCTGCCTCCCGAAGGCAGCCTCATCCCATGCTGCCTCTTGGTTCTGAGCTGTTGGCACCTTTTGGCTCAAATTGTTCTTAGTGTTTATGATCAACTTGATTCAGAACTTCTTTATTTAAGGTACTTCTATTTCTGTTTTAAAAATCTGTTCACAAATTCTTTTTCAATGATTTTTCCAATGCCAAGATGATTGCTGGCAGAAAAATCAGAGCATGATTCAGTGGCTCCTCTTAAAATGATCTGTTGGTCTTAAGAATGATGATGAGGGGCTGGGGATGTGGCTCAAGCGGTAGCGCGCTAGCCTGGCATGCGTGCGGCCCAGGTTCGATCCTTAGCACCACATACAAGGATGTTGTGTCCGCTGAAAACTAAAAAATAAATATTAAAATTCTCTCTCTCCCCCACCCATCTCTCTCTCTTTAAAAAAAAAAAAGAAAGAAAGAATGATGATGATAGCCCTCCTGTAAGCCCAGTGGCTCAGTAGGCTGAGGCAGGAGATCCCAAGTTCAAGGGCAGCCCCAGCAAAAGTGAGGTGCTAAGCACCAAGGAGTGCTTTACCATTGAGCCACTTTCCCAGCCCTTTTTATTTTATATTTTGATACAGGGTCTCAACTAAGTTGCTGGAGCTATCCTTGAACTTAAGATCCTCCTGCCTTGGCTTACCTATTCGCTGAGATTACAGGTGGGTACCATCATACCTGGCTAGGATTTATATTTTCTTTTTTTTTGGTACTGGAGACTGAACCCAGGAGCACTCTACCACTTAGCTGCATCTCAGCCCTTTTTATTTTTTATTTTGGGACACGGTCTTGCTACCTTGTCTCTAAATAAATGCAAAATAAGGCTGGGAATGTGGCTCAGTGGTCAAGTGCCTATGAGTTCAATCTCAGGTACAAAAAAAAAAAAAATCCTTTAGTTTCCTAAAATTTTCCTATTAGCATCTCGTCGGTGTTCCCTTTTGAATAGGCAGGGTGATGTGTGTGATCCCAAACCTGTCATACAAAGGAAAAAATTTAATATTCTGATTCTCAGATTGGAAGCCAGCCTACCCCAGGGGTAGTTTATGTACCCGACTTGGCAAGCACTGGTTTGGGATCAACTACACCTTTCTCAATCTTACTGAACAACTAGCCTGGGGAGAAAGCAAGTATTTATAAAGAATGCAGCCAAACCTTGCCCAACTTCTCTTTTCAGCACCCTAATTAAAAAGGCTAACTGGGGCGGCTCTTCCACTCTCATGAAAATCATCTCCGAAGAAACACTGAAACTTTCAACAAAGGCGCATTTATCCAGTACAACAGAACTTTGATATCTGCAATGATTAAAAAAAAATACATTCCCATTCCTAAGGAAATTAACTTGCCAGTTCAGTTTAAAATAACACCTTCCTTATTTTATTCCTGTATAATTTAAAAAAACAAAAGTTTTTTTTTTAGTATTAAAAATATTTTTTATTGACTGAAGCTGATCAGTTCTCTTAGAAGGAACACAGAGCATACATTATATTCTTTAAAAAATAAAATTTACAAGTTAAAATGGAAGTGTTTTAGTCCTTTAATATAAAAAAAATTCATATGAAACTTGGTTTTCCAGCAAGCTTTTGTTTGAGTTACGGACCCAGACAGGACGGGGCTCTGCTGGCTTAGGACAGATGGACCTCACCTGTCAGCCTCCAAGGTGATATTTTCCCTTAAAAACATTTTATATCATATCATCTCATGTCTGTTAACACAGAAAAGCCCAGCGTTAAAATTGTATGAGAAGAGAAAATTATTCCTCATATATCTGGAGCTGACTCTGATGTTCAGGTTTTAGGAAAGCAGGTGGTAAGGTGGCATCTACACGCAGGTGCTCACCTGACCTCCCATGTGAAGAGTCTCCAGTGCCCAGCTACAGCCTGCACCTTTACAGAGAACTTTTTCCTTTTTAGCATAATTCCAACTCCGTGTACATACAATAAGGCCTCACTGCTTACAAATGGAAATATTTCTTAGACATGAAAATGGTTAACTGAAAACAACAGATGTTTTAAAAAATAAACTTTTAGTTTCTGCTCCGCTTTGGTGTTAAATGCTGCCTGTGAAGGATCACAGTCATCTCTTGTTCTAAGGTGAAGTCACATTGATGTCTGCTTTCTGCCCTCCATATAGATGAGAAATCTGGCGCTGGGGGAGGAAACAGAGCAAACAGTGAAAACCAGCAAGCACCAGACAGCACTGAAGCTCCCAGGGTGGAAGACATTCACCACACATCCTGGTTCCAGCAGCATAAGGTCATGTGACGTGTTACAAATACAAAACTCCCTAGCAAGAGAGCAGCTTAAGAGGGAGAGGAACAGGGAGCTGGGGCAACTCAACTTCCTGTCTTCCCAGCTCCAGCTCTTATGTTCACAGTGAAGAGATGGGCAATACCGATGCCGTATCAAACTGAATTCTGAAGTAACTGTGCACCTGACATGAAAGTCTGATATAGGAGATGCAAACCAAGAAAGTGCTTACTGGGTCTGTCCACTTTCTGATGAAACCTGAAACCCCAGAAACACTTTTCTTATCAGAGAGCCATCTAGGTGAGAGACTGAAATGTTAATTTAGAATCTGATTTTTAAAGCTGGAACTATGTATTAACTTCCTTAGATTTAAAATTTTATTTACTCAGAATAAGAGCTTTTAATCGGTATTTCTCTCACAAGTAGATATTTTACTTTGACTGAATTTACAAGGTATGTACACTATAAATAGGCCAAGCGAAAAAGAGGATTACTGACCAAACGAATGCATGGCCTTGACTCCACATTATCAATATCCCAAGTTACTTATTAAATGTTAACTAAGATATAAGGTGAGATAAGCAAAGGTGACTTACCCAAGATAACAATGAATATTCAAGTTGACTTTGTTTTTTTCAATGACTGACAAAGGTATTCTTTTGATCTGACTCTTCTGAGACTTCTAAGTTCTAAAAAACAATCCCCAAGTTAGTACTTAGGATAGAGAAACCAGAAAAAAACAAAGACAACTATATGCAAACATAGTAGACATGCATTTAAAAAAACCTTAGGAAATAGAAGTAGTACAACCAAGTGCAGGGTCTGGTGGCACACACCTATAATCACAGCTATGTAGGAGGATCCCAAGTTTGAGGCCAGCCTGGGAAACTTGGTGAGAGCCTGTCTCAAAAATAAAAAGGGCTGAGGATATAGCTCAGGTTCAATCCCTAGTACCTCCCCAACCCTGAAAAAAGAAAATGATCAGACAAACCACAATATGCTAAAAGAGACTCATGGTTCCATAAGCTTTCCCAGCCTGCCACAAAAAACATTTAAGACCCCTAAAGAAAGAGCTGGAATGTCTGGTGGTAGCACTAGCCTGTATAGCCTTTCAGGATAAGCACAAGCTATTCCTGCATCCCAGCTGCCCTGCCTCCTAGCTAAGCAGGGTCCCAGGGTGTGGATGTGCACTGCTCACCTCTCTCTTGCTGGACATTTGGGCTGCAGCTTGTCTTTTTTATAAAGCAACACTGCAATGAAAATCTGTACTTATGCCATTTATGCCAATGCAGAAGTGTCTGTAGGAGAGATTCCCAAGTGACATTGCTTTGTCAAAGGCTCAGTTCTTCTGTAACTTTTAGAAAACCCTGCCATTTCCCTACCAGGAGGGCCAAATCAGAGATGTCGGAGAAAGCCTGTTTCACAGCTCTGAATCACCACTCTTGTCTTGAGCTACAGACGGCAACACCTTGGTGACACAGGGTGCTCAGAACTTTACCCTGCTTCCTTCTTGAAAAAAATTTTTATTTTTTCAAAATATTTGCTTTTCCTGTTTCTATCTGTACCAAGTTCAAAGGCATGGGGGAGGAGTATGTAAAGTGTGTTGCCAAGTAGACTTCTACTATTTAAATTATGCTTTCCCATCCATTTCTGCAATCAGCTAATTCAGTGGAAAGAATATTTTTTTTCCAATTAAATGATTTTCTGATTCTATGTGGGATGTTGAACAAAAGAAGAGATATAGCCCCTTTTCCTCACTGGAAAATGAAAGTCTTGGATTAGATATTTCTTCTAGGTCTAATTAGCTCAAAAATTCTTTCTTTTTTTTTTTTAGAAAAATTCTGGGAGCTGGGGTAGAAAGGCACTGGGGATTGAACCCAGGGATGCTTTATGACTGAGCTACATTCCCAGCCCTTTTTATTTTGAGGCAAAGTCTCACTAAGTTGCTGAAGGTCTTGCTAAGTTACCAAGGCTGGCCTCAATCCTCTTGCCTCAGCCTCCTGAGTAGCTGGGATTACAGGCATGATTCAAAAATTCTCTGAAGCTAAGCTTGCACTAACTTCAAATAGCTTTAGCATTTTTTTCAATCTATACCTAAGGTCACAGTCTTGCCTTTTTTCCTATCAGTTCCATTCAAGGCAGTTACCAAGCATCCTCAGTAGCATGTAATCAACCATTATGTACCATGATGTATACTCTGATGGAAATAAATACACACACACACACACACACACACACACACACACAGATCCACATTATGAAGACCAAAATGAGGGAGTTTATTCCTATCTTAGACAGGAATGTGTTAGCTTTTTTATTACTATAACAAAATACCTGAGATTATCAACTTAAAAAGAGGAAAGGTTTGTTTTGACTCTCAATTTTGATCCAGATCAGGTGAATCCATAATTTTTGGACCTGTGCAAGGCAGCATGTCATGGAGGGAGCAAACAGCAGAGGAAGTCCATCCATCCAAGGCCTCAGTGAATGAGAAAGAGAAGAAATGGGGTCCCAATATCCTCTTTGCGGGCATGCCCCAATGACCGCTCCCCTTTCTACTAGGCCCAGCCTCCTAAAAGATTCATACCTCCTACCAGCAACATGAACTGGGGAGTAAACCTTTAGCACAAGGCCTTTGCGGGACATTCAGATCTAAATTATAGCAAACCCTAAAAAAGAGGGTTACAAGAAGAGCCTGGAGCCAGAGCCTGAGAGACAGGTCTGTTGTAACACTTGCTTTGAAAACAAGAATGGGTTATTACAATCTGGTATGTTAGTGGATAATTTGGGCTTAATGTGAAGTTTGCATTTATGTATGATTTTGTCCATAAGGAACACTAGACACACTGTACCCAGGTGAACTGGGCCATGTGGGACTACTCAAGACACACTCATCCTGAAACATTCCCCAGCCCATGTTGTGAGTCACACACAGGTCCAACTGCTGCTACAACTTTCCACCCAGCAACAGCCCTGCATCACTTCTCAACAAGCCAATCTACAAGCAGACTCAGGTCCCCACCATACGTACTGTGGTAATTAAGTATTTTATAGCCATTTAACGTGTATAAAACTGCTATTTTGTGACATACCTTGTATGGGGGCGGGTACTGGGGATCAATCCTGGGCATCACACATACTAGGCAAGTTCTGTACCCCTGAGGAACATTCCCAGCCTTTTTTTCTTTTTTTAAAGACAGGGTTTCATTAAGTTGTCTAGGCTCACCAGGAATTTGTGATCCTCCTGCCTCAACCCTCAGTCCTCTGAGCAGCACATATCTAACTTTTATTTAAATGTTTCTAGGGCTGGGAGAATAGCTCAGTTGTACAGTACATGCCTGGGACCTTGGTTTCAATCCCCAGTACCACAAAGAAAAGAAGTGAGGATTTATTTTTATTTAAATTGACAAAAACTGTATATATTTGTGTTGTGATATTCTGAAATATGTATACATTTTGGAAGGGCCAAATCAACCTCATGTACTTATCATTTAAAAAAAAATCTACTCAGCAATTTCAAGTGTATAATACATTGTTATTAATGATGCTCACTATGTGGTATAATAGATCTCTTGAACTTATTCCTCCACTAACTGAAAGTTTGTATCTTCTGGCCAACATTTCCCCTTTTCCTCCACTCCTCTAGTCCCTGATAACTACCATTCCACCTTCTGCTTCTGTGAGTTTGACCATTTTATTTAAAAAAAAAAAATGTTTTTGGTACCCAGGGGTGCTCTACCACTGGGCTATATCCCAGCCCTTTTTCTTTTATTATTTTGAGACAGGGTCACAACAAATTGCTAAGGCTGGCTTTGAACTTGCTACTCCCTACCTCAGTCTCCCAGGTTTTTAGCATTACAGCTGTGTGCCACTGTGGCCCTAAGTTTATCAGATCATGTAGCTGCATGTCAATCAGACCATGCAGTATTTGTCTTTCTGTGCCTGGCTTATTTCACTTAACAACGTCTCCTAGATTAATCCATGTTGTCACAAATGATAGGATTTCCATTTTCTTCTTCTTCTTTTTTCTTTTTTGAGGGACAGGGTCTAGCTATGTTGCCCAGGCTGGTTTTGGATGCCTAGGCTCAAGTGATCCTCTCACTCCAGCCTCCTGCATACTTGAGACTACAAGCTCCTCCACAATGTCCATCTTGGAGCTTTCTTCTTCTTTTTTAATATTTATTTTTTTCAGTTACAGGTGGACACATATCTTTATTTTATTTTTATGTGGTGCTGAGGATCAAACCCAGTGCCTCCTGCGTGCTAGTCGACAATCCCAGCCCTGGAGCTTTATTCTTCTTTAAAGGTAACCTTTGTAAACTACCTCTTTAGGTTTCTGGAAAGAGCATGCTGATTCTAACATGGCAAAAATGCTAACTTTTGGATCATCTGTGTCACAAAGAAAACTGCTGTGTGACAGCTCATTGTAACACAATGCCAACTGAAGATAGCATGCAAGAAATGCCAGCGAGTATTTCAGGGAATGTGCCAAAGACACCTGCTCTCCCTATTTCTATTCAACATTCATATGAAGATCCTAGCCAGAGCTGTAAGAAATCAGGCATAAAGACTGGGAAAAAATAAGTTTCTTTCTTTTTCTTTTTTTTAATTGTACTGGGGATTGAACCCAGGGGTGCTTTACCACTGAGCTATATCCCCAGTCCTTTTTATCTTTTTAAATTTTGAGACAGGGTCTCACTAAATTGCTGAGGGTCTTGCTAAGTTGCTGAGGTTGGCCTAAAACCTGCAATACTCCTGCCTCAGCCTTCCTAGTTGCTGGGAATTATAGGTATACACCACCATGCCCAGCAAAATTTTCTTTGCTCACAAACGACACGCTTGTCTATTAGAAAATATAGAATAGATGAATGCAGCAAAGTTCCAATTTACAGTATTTATATCAACAAATAGTGAAAATACATTCTCAAACCTTAAAATACCATGTATAATAGCCTCAATAAACAAAATATTAGGAGAGAAATTTAACAAAAGATATATATGATCCCTACAATGAGAACTATAAAATATGGTAAGAGAAAAAAGGAAACATAAATAAGTGGAGATGAATACACAGGAAGATGTTTATCATTAGACAACAAATGCAAATTAAATCTCAATAATATGCTAATTCATATTTACCAGAAAAATTTAGATCAAATATGATGACATAAGTATATGTTGGTAAGTATACGGAACATCTATAACACTTATACACAGCTAGCAGAACTAACTTGAAAAACAATTTGGCAGTTTATTAAGAAGTTAAATGTACACCTTTTTTTTTTTAGTTGTCAATAGATCTTTATTTATTTATTTATTTTTATGTGGTGCTAAGAATTTAACCCAGTGCCTCACACATGCTAGGCAAGCGCTCTACCACTGAGCTACAACCCCAGCCCAAATGTACACCTATTCTTTTGTTCTTATTTATTTATTTATTTATTTTTGGTATTGGGATTGAACCCAGGGGTACCTTACCATTGAGCTACACCCCAGCCCTTTTTATTTTTTTCTTTTGAGACAGGATCTTGCCACAATGGAGAGGCTGACTCCAAGCCACCCTCCTGCCTTAGTCTCTGGTCTCTGGATAATAGGTATGTGCCACCAGGCCCAGCTAATATACATTATTGTATCACGAGCAACTCTACTTCTCGGTATTAACAAAAAGGAAAATATCCATACATAAAAACACTGGTATAAAAATGTCCACAGTAGCTTTACTCATAGTAGCCACAAAGAGGAAACAAATGTCCCACCAAGAGGAGAAAAAATAATCGGTGGAAGAGTCACATAATGGAATACTACTATGCAGCAATTAAAAAGGAACACAGTGCTGATACACAGCCTGGCTGAAGCTCAGTCACACTGAAAAAGCTGGAGAGTGCACATGCCATACTGCTGTACTTTCATAAAACTCTGGAATAGCCCAAACTAGTCTCTCATGATAAAATCAGATCAGAAACTGCACATAGTGGTAAAGAGGGATTCACTTCAACGAGCATAAAGGACCTCTCAGGTGATGGAACCTTGACTGAAATACTGTACCTTGACTGAAATTCTGTACCTTGACTGAAATACTGGTTGCATGGGTGGATACACATTTGTCCAAACTTATCAAACCAGTTTTTTTATATCAGTTTTTTATTAAAATACTAAAATAATCATTAAAGACATTCTTAATAAATATCTTCATTTTATTGTATGGCATTATACTCCAACAAGGTTCTTTTTTCTTTCTTTTCAGTACTGGGGATGGAACACTGGGTCTCACGCAAGCTAGGCACACACTGCACCCCAACTAGGGTTAATACAAAAGCCTTTCAGTATTCTTGAAGACCTGCTTTGTTTATTTTGGTTTTGGGTCAGGGATACAAAAGAATTTAATTCAGTGGCTTTCAAATATCTTTAAATATTCACATAGCACACCCAAGTAAAATACCTTGAATCTTAAAGCACCAGTTCTAAGCTCATATTTTACAATGAGGAAACTGGGCAACTATCCTGATTTCCAGCATTCTTTTCACTATTTACGATGATGCCATAAAATCTACAGAGTAACTTACATCACTGCCATTGAACTGTTACTGTGCTTAAAATAAGCAGTTAAAGTTAACGTGTGACCTGGACTTGGTGGCACACACCTGAAATCCCAAAGACTCAGAAGGCTGAAGCAGAAGAATCACAAGTTTGAAGCCAGCCTCAGCAACTAAAGCCATAGCAATTTTAGTAAAACCCTGTTTCAAAATAAAAAACTAAAAGGGGTGAGAATATTGCTCAGTGGTAGAGTGTGTCTGGGTTCAAGCCCCAGTACCAAAAAAAAAAAAAAAAAAAAAGATTTAACATAGCTGCTTGGTG